ACACACACACACACACACACACACACACACACACACACATATTTATATACATATATTTTAAAGATTTGAGGCATCCAGACCTGCCAATTCTGATGACATTTCCCCCTCTCATTTCAATTAACTACCTCACAAATAAACAAAATAAGACATGCTTTTTGATGGTGAATTTAGCTCTTCCTCCAGTAAATTTCCTTTCGCAAACCTTAGCAACTCACATTAATGTGATTGATCGCAATAAAATCCTCACTAGAAGAAATAAATGATGGTGCAGACTGATGTGTCATCAGTCTGTCTGATGTTTCTAAATTAGAGATAAGTTATATGCAAATATTTGACAATTCTGAGCCCAACTGAGATCGTTTGGAGACAGGTTGCCTCCCACTAGGTGGGCATTGTGACCAAAGGTGGTTTACCAGAGGTTGAGGGTGCTGAATGCTCAACTACATGAAGTTGGTCCTAGCAACAAAAAACGTCAATGTAATATCGAGGGGAAGACGCATATCACCCTGAAGTTGCATCAGGAAGGGCATCCAGCATACAAATCTGCAGAATCAAACATACAAAGCTACCCACTGTAGTGACCCCTTTGTAGTAAGGGAGCAGCTGAAAGTATTTTACTCTAGTATGATTGAGGCCTTCACTAGACTTCATACTGCATTTACACAGTGTGTTTCTGATCTTACAGATTTGGATAATGGAACTGAGCTTTCTGAGAACCTGAATCCAGAAATGTGATTAACAAATGCAACTCAGTGAATTACCTCATGGAAAAAATGGAAGTCTTTGGCATGTGTCAGATACTGCTAAATGTTAGTAAAAGCATAATTTCCTACCATAAACATGAAGTAGCTTTTTGCATTATAAATAGCCGATTAAAAAAAAGAAAAGAAAAGAATTGACTACAGGAAAATCCCACTCTCTCCCTCTCTTTCACTCTCTCCATTAAACTCCCTGTTATTGTAATGTATGTTGTTTAATTTTAAATTATGGGTTTTACTTTGCATTTTATGTTTTCCAACATTATGAATGACAAATTTATGAAATAACCTAGTTAAGCTAAGTCTTGTGAAACCAGGTATAGAATGAAGGTAGTTTCACTCAAAACCATCTACACATTCATGCCGTACACACAGGAATAAGCAAGCCAGAGTATGTGATCTTTGCTTGTGCACTACAAATGTACTGCTGTCTTTGCACTTATTTCTAATTTTTTAATGAAGTGACTTCTGGATATTGCAATTAACAATATCACCCTATCTCTGCGAACTGTGACACAATGCTTCTGCCTTATATAATACTCAATGTCTCTCTGTGTGCATTATGTCATACAGTGATTATATATTAATTAATCAAAATTCAATTTTATTTTATCTGTATTTCATTTTTCCTGTTTTAAAGTCAGCTGTATATTGTTAGTTAAAAAGATATAAAACTTGCCAAATTAAAAAGCATAAAAAATGGCCACCTATATCCCTTTTGTAGAGACTGTTGCTCAATAGCATACCTTTGTAATCAACAGAAACCAAATTAGGCTTTCTGTATATCAATAAAGGATGTCTTCTTCCAGCTAAAACTATTGGATAGTTTGGATTCATGTCTGTCTTGGAAATGTCTGTTTTTTGTTTTGCTGCTTTAACAACAGTTAAGCTTTGTATATCCAAGGGTATTAGTTTTACAACTGAAGTCCAGATTACACAAGATCATGTAACACACAGACTCTGCCACACTGGGTGCGATGCATACCTTTTAATAAAGTTAAAGTTTTTGGGGTTTTTTGGCCTGTCCCGTTTGGATCTTTAGCCATCAGAATTGTTGTCTGAAGGCCAAGAAGAATGCTGAACGGATTTACTTTACCAAGTGGATCATCATGGCCTTGCCATATTGGTCCATTTGATTGACCTTTATTATAATTATGTATTTATTTTATTAAATTTTCGGATGTTACAGACGGGACAGACATGACTGGGGGATAGGACAGGGAGAAAGAATGAAAGAAAGAGAGGGAGAGAAAGAATAATAGAAGGGAGAAGAGATGGTGAGAAAGGGGGGAAGAAAAAAAAAAGAAACAAACAAAACACCTGGATCACCTGTATGGAGATAAAATACAGAAGAGAAAACAAACAAATTGGGGCGATTGTGGCTCAAGAGTTGGCAGTTCGTCTTGTAATCAGAAGGTTGCCGGTTCAAGCCCCGGCTCCCACAGTCTCGGGCGTTGTGTCCTTGGGCAAGACACTTCACCTGTTGCCTACTGAATGCCTGGATGACTGAATGTGTAAAGCGCTTTGGGGTCCTTAGGGACTAGTAAAGCGCTATACAAATACAGGCCATTTACCAAAAAAAGAGCAACATAATAAATACAACATCATCACAATAAACTAGCTAACAGTAGATACTAAATATTACATGTTATTGTGCAGCATGCAAGATCAACAGCGCGCAATGTGCTTTGAGGTAGCAGCCAAGAAAGGTGTAGTTTGTGTCTGTGAACACCTGTGTGGATCAGCACGCTTGTATTCAAAAGGCTTCTCCATGTAACGATCTGCTAGGGAGTGTGGGGAGGCAAAGCCCCGTCCCCCAAGGCATGAGGTATGGAGAAGATGCAGGCCCCAGACATCCAGAGGCCCCAGAGTACAAGGACCCAAGGAGAACCACCATCGTCACTTCCTGTTTGCCATTTGTTTGAAAGTTGTGTTTTGATCGTGTCCTGTGGATTTTTGAAATTTGACATCAATTTCTGGAGCAAAGACTACTCAAATTGTTGGAACTTTTGGTACAACCCTGTCTGGATTACGACTTTGATACAGGATATTGGACTGGACTAATGGAGTTAACGAGGTAATTGCAGGCTAGCCAAAACATTACCAGGCTAACAGCTGACTGAGGAATCAGCTGACTGAACCTGCTAACAGAGTAACCAGATAAAATGGGGCCGAAGAGGACACCGACAGCTGAGGAAGTCGAGGACATTAAAAAGTCTCTTGACTTCATAATTGACGAATTTCTACTGTCAGGTTGCAGCAGAAAAATATCATTGAAAATGTGATTGCATACCTGGAAAGTAAGGTCGCTGACCTGGAACAATACTCCAGGATAAACGACGTCATCATCAATGGGCTCCATATTAAACCCCGGTCATACGCTCAGGCGGTGACCGCTGACAGCAATGAGGAACCTGGAGAGCTTGATATTAGCAACACGGAACAACAGGTGTCTGCTTTCCTGCAGTCCAAAGGGATTGACCTGGACTGTAACTCTGTCGAAGCATGTCACCCTCTTCCCAGGAGGAACGGCAACATACCGGCTATTATATTATGGTTTGTAAATCGAAAGCACGAGATTACGCTGCTGAAACAAGGAAGAAAATTAAAAGGATCTAATGTCTTTATCAATGAACATCTAACCAAACACAACGCTGAAATAGCCAAAAAAGCGCGACACCTTAAGAAGCTGGGAAAAATCCAAAGCACTTGGACGACAAACTGTAAAATATTCATTAAACTAAACGGATCACCAGAGGAAGCCAAAGTTCTGACCATTAAAAATATGGCGGATCTCGAAAAATATCAGTGAGCAACACGATCTGGACGGCAAACAAGGTAACAGACAACCACACACTCACTTATGACCAGTGTTGGGACTAACGCGTTATTAAGTAACGCGTTACAGTAACTATGTTATTAATGTGGTAACAAGCACGGTAACTAGTTATTATGCCAAAATCAGGAACACGTTAGTCGTTACTGGGATTTAGATAGGCTCGTTACTCGTTACTTCGTGTGGTGGCTATCGTGGAGCTTCCACAGATTCAGTAACATTAGCAAGTGGTGGAGG